TCACCATAACCTGCACAGCATGTAGGACTCTCTAGGCACCAGGGATCATTCCCAATACTGAAGTATGAAGGCAGCTGCCTGATTTTGGAGGATGGGAGAGCTGATTTCTGTCGTCGGTCTTGGCCCACTGGCCTCAGGAAGAGTGATCAGTCCTTTGTTGCCTGTTACAGTCTGAGATTCCTGACCTTGTGGTTGTCTGGGCCAGGCCATGAGGGCTCTTTTTTCCTCAAAGCACAGCCCAGGGCCTGTGCTGATGAGCCTTTCTGTGCTCCTGTGACCCTCTCACCCCTCCACATCCTCTTCATCTGCTGTCAGCCCATTGCCTGAAGCATCCTCCCGGTGGTGGTACCCGGAGCCGCCTCTGAAAATCAAACTGTGCCAAGGCTCAGGCACCATCCTGTGATACTCCACCCTGTTCCACTGTCAACACAGTCTCTGGAAATTATGGCCAAGCCCAACTAACATGGATGTAGCCACATGGAGTGGAGTCATGCCAGCTGGCCGAGGACAAAGGCTGGTTTTTGGTCCCCTTTGTTTAACAACACAGACAGAGCCTCTGCCTCCAAAATCCCTCCTCCGCCATCCACGTGGAGCATCTTCTTCTGCATCACTCAGGGGGGAGTGTGGGTTTTTTTACAGCAAGAGCATCTCCTGCTTCCTGTGGTTCTCTCCAGAGGTTATTTGGCCACATTTGTGGATCCAATGGCTTTGGCTCTGTTGGCTCAGGGACAGCAGTGACTTTGCCCCGTGCAGTTCATGTGCTGCTGCAGCATCCAGAGTAAATAAGTGTGAGGGTAATTACACCAACAGGAATTCTGGGAATCCTGCCAGGAGGGAGGGGACAGCCAACCCTTTGTGCATTAAAAAATAAAATAAATAAATAAATAAATAAAAGAATCCCCCCATCCCTCCTCCCAGCCCCAAATTAGTTCTATCTCTTGAAGCCGTGATGAGACTCGGAACTAAAAATACACACAAATATACACACACTCGTATATAAAAATAGCCAGCATTCAAAGAAAAAAAAAAATAACAAGCCCAAAGTTAGGCTCCTGTATCCAAAATTAAGCTCTTAAATAAATAAATTAGCCTGATTTTCAAAAGCACAGAGCAGTGAATGGTTTTCTCTGACATAAGAGGAAGCATTGTGTTGCTAAAGATTGAAGATCAGGCCCGAATATGGATTTGAAAGTCTAATTATAGAAGCCTGTTTGGTACCAGCTTGACCGAGAACAACAAATTTCAGGTGAAATGACATTGATTTTTTTCTTTCTTCTTTCTTCAGAGTTTGTCTACACTTAAGCAGTGTTAGTGAAAGTAGGAAAAACCCTCAAACGAGTAAATAAAATACCACATGGAAACAGATACTCTGGAATAGAACTGCTTACACCAGTGTTGTACATTTGTGTTTGGAAATAGGGTTAAGAATTATCAGTGTTAGAGCTGGGTGAAATTTTATGTTGATTAATTAAGGAGGTATTTAAGAATTGTTGGAAGCCTTCTGTTGAAAGTATTTCTACCAGGTAGAAATACTGCCTTTCCCTGTTATTCTCAGAATATTTTCCAGTTAAGCTCAAAATTGACTGGCACCAAGGGGGAACGGGGTTTTAGTGCTCCTTTTCCTCTCTGTGCCAGATTTGGGTTTGAAGGAAGCTGAAGACAGAGCACCGTATTTTATCATGGACCAAGGAGAGTACAAAAGGAATTTCATTTCCCTTCAGCCCCAAATGGTCCTTGGAAATGCTTTGCTCACGTGCTGGGACCATTTGCTGGCCAATGTTATGCCAAGGGATTCCTGAGGCACCAAAAGATCTGGGTTTAAATGCCAAAAATACTTTGAGGGCACCTATTTGGTGCTGTATGACTCAGTTTCCTCCTCTGTGGAACGGCAAAACACAGCTGACCTTTGCCAAAGGCTGTGGGTTCAACAACCAGGACAGTCTGGTGTTTCTGTCCTTGCCACTGTTCTGGCCATTGACGGAGACAGGATCAGGAAATTATGTTAATCCAAAGTATTATCATGTCCTTTCATGCTGCCTCCATGAATTGTTGTCATGTCCTCTCACTGGCCAGTGAGAAACATTCAGGCTTAAATTGTATGGATGGTGGTGAATCCCCAGGGATCAAGGAGAAATCATTGCAGGATTTGGTGTCCCATCTTCAGTTTCTTCTTAATCTTTCTGAGTGACTCAATGTCACTGTTGTGGTTTGGTTCAGCCAACCTGGAGTGCTGGGAAAAGTATTTTTTGGTCTTAAAAATAACCCAAAACTGGAGACAGGTGATGGGAACAGCAATGTGGAAGACAAGAGGTGTAGGAGATGTCCCCCACTGTGAGAGGGGACTGAAAGAATTTTTTTCTGGAGAAAAGGGGGCTCAGGGGGGACCTTCTCATTCTCTCCAACTCCCTGACAGGAGGGGGAGCCAGGTGGGGGATGGAATCTGCTCCCAGGAAACACAGGATAGGACGAGAGGAAACAGCTTCAAGCTGTGCCAGAGGAGGTTCAGGTTGGATATCGGAAACAATTTCTTCCTTCCAGGGTTGCCCAGCCCTGGCACAGCTGCCCAGGGCAGTGGTGGAGTCCCCATCCCTGGAGGAATTTAAAAGCCGTGGGGATGAGGCACTTGGGGACAGGGGTCAGTGATGGCCTTGGCAGTGCTGGGGGAACAGAGAGATCTTAGGTCTCTCTTCCAGCCTTAATGATTCTGCGATTCTATGGGGTTTTTCAGTCTGGAGAGAAGAGTTTATGTGGTAACTATGTGCAAACGGGCAAATGACTGGCTGCAGGGTGAAAATGAATAAATTCTTCTTTTCCGTGGCTGAAGGAGTTGAGAAATTAGTGGCTTAAGCTTCAGAAGAGGAGTTTAGGTCTCATTACCAGCAGCAATAGGAGCTTCTGGGGAGGGGAGGCCATCCAGGACTACAGGACAGATTTGGTGGTAAGAGTTTGGCAGGGGTGATGGTGTCTTTGCCCGTGGGCAGCACCTTATGGGCACCATCACCTTGGGTTTTGGTGGCCCTGTGTTGCTGATATTATAAAAACCAGTTGCATAGTCCGCTGCTTCTGCTTTCTCCCTGAGCCATTACACCCTCCCTGACTTTGCCTTTCCAGCTGAACTGCATTTATTTAATTCCTTGCATGGGTGAAGGGAAGGGAAGGCAGGATCCCTCCGTCGTGCTGCAGCTTCTGGGGTTGGGATCTTCCAGGGAAGCGCCAAGCACAGGTGGTGGATTTGGGCATGCTGGGGACTGGGAGAGCAGGTGGTCCACGGCCATTCCCACCCCACTCGGGGTCTGCTGGGGATGTCACACCAGTGTCACCAGTGTCGTGTGTGACTGGCGTAGCATTTTTCTCGAGTGCCGAGCCCCATCTGGTGGCTTTCCTGCGTCATTTTTCGTGTCCTTGCGGACTTCTTTCGGGATTTTTCGTCTTCTGTGCATGTGAAGTGCGAACGGGAAGGAAGGACAAGGTGCTGGACAAAGGGCAGGGCTTACAGAGCTGCCTCTGCTTCCCTCCCGGCTCCCTGTCCCCAGGTGTAATTTGGAGACACAGGCGCTGTCGAGGCTCCCGTCCTTGCCTCCTGCTCTTCCTTGCTGTTCAGTCTCGCCCGAGCGGCAAGGAATGATCTAATCGTTCTGGCGAAACCCCAGTTAGTGCTGTGAGCCCCTCCCAGAGCCTCCAGAAGGCTCTTCATCCCACTGCCGTGCTGGCATCGGAGCTGGGACAGATGAACAGTCCCGGGAGGGGACATTTCCAACGACTGACTGGCTCAGATGACCAACTTTAGGGCTGGCATTAGGGGAAATGATTCCCATCCCAGAAAAGGCTACAGCCACCACTCAGGGTGAGAAGGAAGAAGACCCAGTATTAGATCATCAGTCCCTGGAAGTGTTCCAGGGCCAGGCTGGATGGAGCTCTGAGCAACCTGTGACAGGTGACAGGTGTCCCTGCCCACAGCAGGGGCATGGAACAAGATGATCTTTAAAGTCCCTTCCAGCCCCAGCCATTCCAGGATTCTGTGATACCTGTGAGCATTAGAAAGCACCCCGTTTTAGGAGAGGCTTCCTTTCCTGGAGATGCCATGAGTGCTGTGGCACCTGGGCACATTGTGCTGCCCTGCCTTGGTCAGCTCCATTTACAAAGATTGCCCAAATGTCCCCTGAAGGGAAGTTGTGTCCCCCCAAAGTGGGGTTTGCAGGTCTATGGAAACAGAAGCAAGGGTAGAGCAGTACCTGTCCATGCATGAGGCACCTCCTTCTGGTCCAGCATTGCCCAAAGTCTCCATAGCTGACCAGTGGCAAGCTGTGGCCTTTTGCATCTGTGGGTCACACGTGTGCTGAAGGTGAGGGTGGTGTCCCATGGATCCACCTGTGATGAAATAGGGTCAGATCATAGAGTCACGGAATATCCTGATTGGAAGAGACTCACAAAGATCATTGAAGTCCAGCTCCCAACCCTGCACAGCGCAGCCCCAAGAATCCCACCCTGTGCCTGAGACCAAAATTGTCCAAATGCTCCTTGAACTCTGGGGCTGGGGACAAAACCTCCTTATCAGAGTGCTGAAGGGACTTAGATGGTCTGTCAATCCACCACCAAGTGTTTTGAGCAGTATTTTTCAAGTAGCTTCTCTTCTTATGATGAAAACAAAGTGAGGGAGTTGCTTTCTTGTGCCTCACAAGCATTTCCTACCCCCAGGCTTCACGTTTGGGTGGTACAAGGTAACGATTTTCCACCTGTGCAAGATGAAATACATTTTGTGATATGTTTTAGCTGGCATGGTGGCATTCAGTCAAAAGGCTGGACTTGATGATCTCGGAGGTCTTTTCCAACATTGATGATTGATTGGATTCTGAAAGTGCTCCTCAGATCTTGCAGGAGGTGAAAGTACCCCCTTTGCCTACCCCAGATTCCCTGTCCCCAAAACAGCTGGCCCGGCCCTCCTCGGGTTTTGCCACGTGCCAAAGCCTCGCACTCAGCTTTCCCTCCTGTGTTTGCTGCAGGTATATCCGAACTATGTACCTGGGGATCCAGAGCCAGAGGCGGAAGGAACACCAGCGGCGTTTCTACTGGGCTATGATGTACGAATATGCAGACGTAAACATGCTGCGCCTCCTGGAAACGTTCCTCGAGAGCGCCCCTCAACTGGTGCTACAGCTCTGCATAATGATCCAAAAGAACCGTGCAGAAACATTACCATGTAAGTGGCCCCCTCGTCCCTCCTTTTCCCCCACCTTCCCGGCCTCCCCCCATCCGATCCCGTGCTCGGCAGGGATGTCTTGGACGTGGATGTGTTGCTCACTTCCCGTCCCGGCGCGTCACCTCTGGACAAATCTCGCCCCAGCTCTGCGCTGCGTTCGCGGGGTAAAAATTTCTCGTTGTTCCACTGAAAAAAAAAATAGAAAAAAAAAAAAAGGAAAAGATGAAAAAGACGAGATTCAGCTGTTCCGCACCCAGTCCAGGCTAAAGCAGTGATGGTGGTATGAGGAGGAGGCAGGAGGGCTCTGCTGCCATGGCAAGTGTCGCCATTCCTTTGCCCCCTGGCACTGGGTGAACACGGCCTTTCCCTGCCTCAGTTTCCCTCCTTGCATAAAGTAGGGTGATAAAACTGGCCAGATTTGAGTTTGTGTTGTGAGGACAAATGGTTCAATGTCTGCAATGCTCTGATGGTGTCAAGTGTAGTATGGGGAGGGGGGCACTTAAATAGCCAAGCCATGTAGGACTTTCTCTGATGAGTTCACAGGAATTAAGGTTTCATCATTGGTACTGTGGTCCTGAGCAAGTCAAAGAAAAGAGGAGGAAGGCAGTGAAGGGGAATGTGTGGGGACAGAGAGGTAGTGGAGGTACCATTGCAAAAGGTAGACAGATGATCAGAGGCTTGGAAGCCACCACAGGGAATAGTTTTCCAGTTCTGATATGCTGCACTGCAGTGATGTGCTGAGCATGGGACATCCATCCCAGCTGAGAGGGATGTGGCCCTGTCCCTCATCCCAGCCCTGGGATGAGCCGCTCTCCCAGCCCATGGACATGCTGGCTGCCTGAGGGTCACTGGCTCGAGGGGCAATTGTCCTTTACAAGGGCCAACAGTGGTATCAGCTGAGGAGCTTCTGGGTTATTCAGCCCCTGCTCAATTCACACACCAGGGATGACACTCAGCTTCCCAGAGACAGCCTGGTTGGGGCAAGTCATTTTTGACAGACATGGGGAGTTTCTGGAGCTGAGATTGGAACTGAAATCAGAGTTAACTTAGGGGTTAAATTTTGCTGGTTGAACCAAGGTCACCACTATCTACAGCACCAGTAAGACTGACTGCTCTCCCTTTCCTCCATACTTCCAGCATGTCCATCAGGGTTGTTTATAGAGTCCTCCCTCCTCCTGTTTATGCAGCCTTTTTCTGAAACCTCTCATCACGAGCTCTCCAGGCCTCCAAAGTGCTGACATGATGAATATGCCTTTCTACAACTCCTGCTAGAACTGCTCACGTTTGCCAGCCCCCTTTTCCTGCTGCTTCCAGCATTATTAACCCTACTGAAAATGTAGAGATCATCTGCCAGGTTCGCCAGGGCGTTGCACAGATTGTTGGCCTCTCTGCGGAAAGCTCTGGGTGAAGTTTCCTGGGCTCTGTTGTGCTGCAAGTCAGACAACACGGCTGAATAATCCCTCCAGTCTTTCAGATCTGTGGCTCTTTCAGTTTGCCACTTGCAGGCATGGCTGCCTAATCCACTGAACAAGCTGCATCATTTTCCAACACACACCCCCCCCCGCCGCTCCTTCCCACACCTCCTTCCCTTCTCCGGCTTTGCAGTTCCTCCGCTCCTCCACCACGCCGAGCCGGCTGCGCTCTCTTCCAAGGCAGCGCACGTCCCCGCCTGCCTTCCCGAGCCCTGGAGGGCTCTTTGCCTGCCACGCTCCAGCAGCCGAGCTCTCCGGGTCCCCAGCGCACCCTCTCCCCGCCTCCCTCCCCGCCTGTGCCAGGGATGCGGCCGCGCATCCCGGCGCTGCGCTGCTGATGGATGTGAGCAGCAGAGCTTGCTCAGCGCTCCCTGACTCAGGTGCGAGGTTTCCTAGAGCTCCTCCATGCCCGTTCCGTGCTTCTGTCTTCCTCCTTCTCCTCCTCTTCCTCCTCCTCCCGGCCAGTACATGATTATTCAGGAGGAAATTAAATGCTGTGAGGAGCTGTTAGGAAAGGGAGCATCAAAGATTTCTCTTCAAGCAGGCAGAAACCAAAGGACTATGGATGTTGTTAGGAAGCCAGCGTGCTTAAAAATCAAATCAAGTTTCTCCTGGCTCATCATGTCCATGGGAGCAGTGGCTCATCACAGGAAGAGGCCAGTTCTGGCTTCAGCTTCAGCTGCATCCCTGAGGGATTCACGCTGGCAAAGCAGCCCGTGGCGGAGCTTATAAACCCAGGTACAGCCCCTGCTAATGTGTCCAGGCTCCAGCTCTTTCCACGTGGTTCACACAGACTCTTATGGATTCATGAAGTGCCAGAGCAAGGTCGATTTGCCATTTTCTGTGGCACATCCCTCCCCCAATCCCAAATCCTCCCTGCTCTTCAGATTGCAACGCCAAGCCCGGTGCAGGAAACCAAGCCAGGCTCTAGTTTTTCCCAAAGGGGTCAGCTAATGTCCCCTTCTATTTAAGGAGCTTTGGAAAGGGAGTTATTGGAATGGTTATCAGAAGGTTTTGCTTTTTTTCTCCCAGTTCTTGTGTTGAGAAAAGAAGGTTGAATACACTGGAGGTCTTTACTCAGACCCAGAGCATCTGGAGGCAGAAAGGGCTGATCTTGCAAGGACTTGTAGAGGTGGATACACTCAAGTTAATGTTTAATTTCCTTGTTTTCATGTCTACTGGGTGAGTGGAAGAAAGAGAAGCCTCATCATGCCTTGCAAGACCCATTTTACCCTGAGAGGTACCTGTCTGAGAGGGTTGGGTGAAACCTGTGTTTGCTGTTCCATCAGCACTCTTAGAACAGAGTTTCACCCAAAAGTGAGAGTCCCCTGCATGGTCTGACACCACCATCAGCACAAGTGCTGGAGCTGGAATTGGAGACCAAGACCCAGCCTCAGTAAAGCTTGGGACAACACCCTTGGGATTTCATAAAAGCCAAGATTCCTTTGTTTATCGTGCCCCAAGCACTGGGCAGACCAGATCCCAGCTTAGCTGCCCTTGCCTAGGGAAGAACAGAAAACAGCACAGAGATCAACAGAGGTGAGAATTTGGTGTAGCCCATCAGGTGAGCAGGTCTGACCTGGAAGGTGCACACTGGAAGCCTGAGATGGAATACTTTGTGCTCTTTGTGCTGTGGCTGCTGGGGCACATGGATTGACATCAGCTCCTGAATATCCACGTGGTGGAAGGAGCTGGTGTTGGTAGGCAGGTCTTTTGTGAATGATCCATCTGCTACAACCACAGCTGTGGGGAGCCCAAAACAGGGTCAACAGAAGGTAAGGGAAAAAGGATGTCTCCAAAACATGGATCAGACCATGCCCAAGGCAGCTGAAGGAGGTGGGATGAGATGCTCAACCTCCAGCAGCGCCTTCCTCCAGGGATTCTGGACAGAAGCTGGGTGATGCATTCATACTTTTCCTTAGGGTTAGGCTGAAGGAGGTGATGGGTCACTGGAGAGGATGCAGCCCTGTCCCTCACTCACCTTAACTGCCCCTGACGTTTAGGAGAGGATGAGTTGAAAGGATGTCCATCTCTCAGGACTCCTGGACAACACCAGCCAGGGCACTTGCTCCGATTTAAACACCATATTTGCAGGGGGAAACATAATATTAACAACAACAGAAAAGGCCCAGCAACCCAGATCCTCATTTCATAATCACTTCTGGCAGATAATCAACCTCACTTCTTGCTGAACAAACCATCCTCAACCCACTTCACCCCTCAGAGATGCTGGTTCCTCCACGCTGAATGGGAAGGAGTAGAAACAACCAGCTTAAAGGAGACACCCAACCTCTAATTGGTCTGTGAGGTGTGAGGGATTCCAGGTTTTTCTGGCATAAATCTCCTCTTAAAGGGGTTTGCCTTCACTTTTTTTTTTTTTTTTTTTTTGGTGTGGCTACTTTGAGGCTTAATGAGATTTAGCAGGAGCTCGAACGTCCTTCCACTCGTGTCACGAGTTCCTTACTCACAGATTTCCCTGGGAGTCTTCCTGCATGAGGCTGCAGTTTTCAGCACAGGGTCTCTCCCCCCCCAAAAAAGTCACATCTATCCATTGATGCTGTGGCCACCTCCTCTACAATCCTGGTATTGATCTGAAAGGGATTTGCAGTGTAAGCCTTCATTTGGCAAAGTCCTGGAGTCTCCAGGATTCTGCAAGGTGTCTGAACCCTCCACAGCCCACAATAAGCACTCTGAAGTTGCTCACGTGTTTGAGGAAAAGCAAAATTAACTTCAGAGGGGTTTGGGGTCATTCTTTTAAAGCAGAGTGATACAATTTAGGCACTAAAGGGAGTTTCATACGTCTCAGCTCCAGGAGTGTGCTGTCTGCAGTTATCCTTAGTGGAGTTTGCAAATCTTACTGTCCCTCCTAAAACAAAGTCCTATTTTTTGTCACCTTCTCCCTCTTTCTGCACCATGTCTTGGGACCACTTATGATCATTTGTGATCCTTCTTAGCAGGGGCACACTAAGATGCCTGTCACTTAGTTTAGAAGACTTAGCTGATCTTGCAGAGTGTTGAAGGCCAAGCAGCAGGTTAGATGTCACCCTCACTGCCCAGAGGAGGCATCCCTGGTGGAGCTGAGTGGATTTGGGATGAGCCAACGTCAAGTTAAACCCTGCTGCACTTGGGTGAGAAGATTCCTGTGTGATAATGAACTAAGTCTAATGTGGAGATAAATCTCTCAGTTCATCTTCCCCTGCTGACAGGCCGATAGTTAAACCAATAATATGCTGTGAATAATGGATGTAGTGGGAGCTGCCTTCTGTGTGAAATGTCCTGGGATAATCATAGGATGGGGGATATCTCAAGGCACCACGACTTGTTGAGGAATGGCTTGAGATTTAAAACCAAGGCCATCTCTGAAGGATAACACATGAATGAATTACTTCTTACTCGGGCCCCGAAGATCAAACAAAGCTTGTTAGCTGGGACAGCCGAGTTAGAAAGGGATCTTCAGCCTTTACTTGCTCAAAGGTGTGATTTTCAAATGACATCGATGTTGGCCTGACTGGAGAAGAGACTCATTAG